AAAAAAAAAAAAAAAAAAAAAAAAAAAAAAGCAGTGGGGGGAAAAAGGCAATATATGAAAGAGTAATGGGAGGTAGTGGCTTTTTATAAATGACAAGGAAATTTTTCAGCTAATCTATACTTAAACTTGATAAAGCAAATAAGAAATTAAAAACAAAAGTTTTCTCTTTAAAGATGACAAAAGCTTTTCTGAAAGTTCCCAAGTGCAGGGACTATTTAAACTGTCAACTGCAAAAAACAATTTGTGGAAGTTCAGGTTTAGGGAGGCTATAAAGACACCATTCCATTGAGTTTATTGTTCATAGTTTGTTTTATGTACTGTAAGGGCACATTGTTAGTATCATCATGAATTGTTTTGAAACTTAAAATTTCTCTAGAGGGGGATATGATTTAATGTTCTCGAGAGTAACATCATAAAACCACATTTGGTAGTAATTTTTTATTTTTAACAATAGCAGACTTCATACAACAGTGCTCATACAGTAGACCATAAAAATGCAGTCTTAGTAAATATTCTTTTCCTGAAGAGCTACTTAGAGACATCCTTCAAACATGGGAATTGTTCCTGGGCTTGTGTTCAGATATATCACAGTGATGAATCATGTTGAGAGAAATCAGCACCCCAATAATACCTTAAAATGGGTCTTTGATTCTAGAATCACATAAAAACCCTGAAGAAATGGATGGCAGAAGTTGATGTTTTCCTGAAAGAAGAATGGCCTGCCCTGGGAGATTCAGAAATTCTTAAAAAACAACTGAAACAATGCAGGGTAAGATTTGTGTATAGCACCTTTCATATGGAGATGTTTATATGGAAAATATTTTTTGGTTACATCAGGGGTGATTTTCCCCTCCTGGGTGATATTTATCAATGTCTAGAGACATTTTGTTTGTTACAACTTGGAGTGGGGTAGATGCTACTGGCATGTAGCTGTTGGAGGCCAGGGATCCTTCTAACCATCCTGCAATTCACAGAACCGCCCCTCACAACAAACAATTACCTAGTCTAAAATGACAGTAGTGCCAACGTTGAGAAACTGGGTTAAATCAGTGAGAAACAGAAAAACATGACCTTTTATTTAACCTTCATTTTATAAGATTATTTTAATGTAAAATGCAGTTTAATTTAAAGGTAAATAATCCTTTGAGCCATTTGTTATATCTTATTACAGATTATTAGTCATATTATATTGCTTTTCCATATATATTGAACTGTATTATAATATTATACAATATAGATTTTTGTTCCATTGATCTATATGTCTGTTTTTATGCCAGTACCAGGCTGTTTTGATTATTATGGCCTTGTAGTGTAGTTTGTTATCCGCGTGATTCCTCCAACTTTGTTCTTGTTTCTCAAGATTGCTGTGGCTATTTGGAGTCTTTTGTGGTTTGATACAAATTTTGGATTACTTGTTCTAGTTCTATGGAATATATCATTGTTATTTTGATAGAAATTGTGTTGAATCTATAGATTGCCTTGGGTAGTATGGACATTTTAATGATGTTATTTCTTCCTATCCATGGACACGGTATGTGCTTCCACTTATTTGTGTCTGCTTCAATTTCTTTCTTAGTGTCTTATAATTTNAAGAGAAAGAGAGAGGAAGGGAGAGGGAGAGAGAGAAACATCCATGTGAGAGCAAAACATAGATTGGCTGCCTCCTGCATGCCCCCTACCTGAGATCAAGCCTGAAACTTGGGCATGCTCCCTGACCGGTAACCAGTAGTAATTGAACCAGCAACTTTTTGGTGCACGGGACGACGCCCAGTCAACTGAGCCACATTGGCCAGGATNGCTTGTGTTCAGATATATCACAGTGATGAATCATGTTGAGAGAAATCAGCACCCCAATAATACCTTAAAATGGGTCTTTGATTCTAGAATCACATAAAAACCCTGAAGAAATGGATGGCAGAAGTTGATGTTTTCCTGAAAGAAGAATGGCCTGCCCTGGGAGATTCAGAAATTCTTAAAAAACAACTGAAACAATGCAGGGTAAGATTTGTGTATAGCACCTTTCATATGGAGATGTTTATATGGAAAATATTTTTTGGTTACATCAGGGGTGATTTTCCCCTCCTGGGTGATATTTATCAATGTCTAGAGACATTTTGTTTGTTACAACTTGGAGTGGGGTAGATGCTACTGGCATGTAGCTGTTGGAGGCCAGGGATCCTTCTAACCATCCTGCAATTCACAGAACCGCCCCTCACAACAAACAATTACCTAGTCTAAAATGACAGTAGTGCCAACGTTGAGAAACTGGGTTAAATCAGTGAGAAACAGAAAAACATGACCTTTTATTTAACCTTCATTTTATAAGATTATTTTAATGTAAAATGCAGTTTAATTTAAAGGTAAATAATCCTTTGAGCCATTTGTTATATCTTATTACAGATTATTAGTCATATTATATTGCTTTTCCATATATATTGAACTGTATTATAATATTATACAATATAGATTTTTGTTCCATTGATCTATATGTCTGTTTTTATGCCAGTACCAGGCTGTTTTGATTATTATGGCCTTGTAGTGTAGTTTGTTATCCGCGTGATTCCTCCAACTTTGTTCTTGTTTCTCAAGATTGCTGTGGCTATTTGGAGTCTTTTGTGGTTTGATACAAATTTTGGATTACTTGTTCTAGTTCTATGGAATATATCATTGTTATTTTGATAGAAATTGTGTTGAATCTATAGATTGCCTTGGGTAGTATGGACATTTTAATGATGTTATTTCTTCCTATCCATGGACACGGTATGTGCTTCCACTTATTTGTGTCTGCTTCAATTTCTTTCTTAGTGTCTTATAATTTTCCAAGTACAGGTCTTTTACTTCCTTAGTTAAATTTATTCCAAGGAAGGTATTTTTTTAAAGATTCTTTTATTGATTTTTAGACAGAGAGGAAGGCCCGGCTGGGCGTGGCTCAGCAGTTGAGCATTGACCTATGGTTCAGGAGATCGAGGTTTGATTCCCTGTCAGAGCACAGGCCCGCAGTTGTGGGCTTAATCCCCAGTGGAGGGCGTGCAGGAGGCAGCTGATCAATGAATCTCCCTCATTGATGTTTCTCTCTCTCTCCCTCTCCCTCCCTCTCTCTGAAATCAATAAAAAATATAAAAAAAAAAAAAAAAAAAAAAAA